CCATTGTATAATGTTCCACATTTTCTTTATCCATTCTTTGGTTGAGAGACATGTAGGTTGTTTCCAGTTCCTGGCTATTATAAATAAAACTGCTATAAACATAATTGTGCAAGTGTCCTTGTGGTATGGTGGAGCATCCCTTGGGTATATGCCCAAGACTGATATAGCTGGATCTTGAGGTAGAGTGATTCCCAATTTTTTGAGAAACCGTCATATTGATTTCCAAAGTACATGTTTGCACTCCACCAGCAGTGGAAGAGTGTTCCCCTGACTCCACATCCTCTCCAGCATGTTACTTGTGTTTTTGATCTTACCCATTCTGACTGGTATAAGATGGAATCTCAGTATCACTTTGATTTGCATTTCCTTGATGGCTAAGGATGTTGACCATTTCCTTAAGTGATTCTCAGCCATTTGAGATTCCTCTGTTGAGAAATCTCTGTTTAGATCTGTACCTCATTTTTAACTGGATTATTTGGTTTGTTGAAATTTAGTTTCTTGAGTTCTGTATATATTTTGATAGCAGCCCTCTGACAAATGTGGAGTTTGTGAAATCTTTTCTCATTCTGTAGTCTGCTGTTTTATCCTTTTGACAGTGTCCTTTGCCTTACGAAAGCTTTTTGGTTTCTTGAGGTTCCATACATTGTCAGTCTCAGTGTCTACACAACTGGTGTTCTGTTCAGGAAGTTGTCTCCTGTGCCAAAACATTTAAAGCTATTTCCCAGTTTCTCTTCTGTCAGGTTCAGTGTATCTGGTTTAATGTTGAGGTCTTTGATCCATTTGGACTTGAGTATTGTGCAGGGTGATAGATCTATTTGAATTCTTCTCCATGCTGACATCCAGTTAGACCAGCATCATTTACTGAAGATACTTTCTTTTTCCTATAATTTTGACTTCCTTGTAAAAAATAAAGTGTCCATAGGTGGGTGGATTTACATTTTCAATTTTATTCCATTGATCCACCTGTTTTTATGCTATTATCATGTGGATATTATTATTATTGCTCTGTAGTACAGCTTGAATCAGGGATGTTAGTACTTTCAGAAGTTCTTTTATTCTACATGATTGTTTAACTATCCCGGAAGTTTTGTTTTTCCATATGAAGTTCAGCATTATTTTTTTCAAGGTTTGTAAAGAATTGTGATGGAATTTTTATGGAGATTGCATTGAATTTGTAGATTGCTTTTGTTAAGCTGGACATTTTTTTCTATGCTAATTCTGCCTATCTAAGACCATGGGAGATCCTTCCATCTTCTGATATCTTCTTCAGCTTTTTTCTTCAAACACTTGAAGTTCTGTCATACTTATCTTTCACTTGCTTGGTTAGAGTTACACCGGGATATTTTATATTATTTGTGGCTATTGTGAAGGATGTTGTTTGTCTTATTTCTTTCTCAGCCCACTTATCATTTGTATATAGGAGGGTTTCTAATTTTTATTTAGTTAATTTTGTATCCAGCCACTTCTCTAAAGGTGTTTATCAGCTGTAGGAGCTCTCTGGTAGAATTTTGGGGATTGCTTATGTATACTATTATTTCATCTGTAAATAACAATACTTTGATTTCTTCCCTTCTAATTTCTTCTTTGATGTCCTTAAGTTGCCTTATTGCTCTAACTAAAACTTTAAGTACTATATTGAATAAATATGGAAAGAATGGTGTAATAGGAAACTACTTGTTTGTTCCCAACTGCCCAGATTCCCAAAATAACCACACAAAACTCTATTAAGTCACTTCTTGACCCATTAGCTCTAGCTTGTTATTGGCTAACTCTTACATCTTAATTTAACCAATTTCTATTAATCTGTGTATTGCCATGTGGCTGTCATTTACCAGCAAGGTTTGACTCATCTGTTCACGCTGGTGGCTACATGGTGTCTCTTGAATCCACCTTCTTTCTCTCAGCATTTAGTTTAGTTTTCCCTGCCTACCTCTATTCTGTTGTGCACAGGCCCAAGACAGTTTCTTTATTAGCCAATGGTATTCACAGCATACAGAGGGGAATCCCACATTACCTCCCCTTTTCTGTTTAAATAAAAAGGAAGGTTTTAACTTTAACATAGCAAGATCACATACAACAAAACATGTATCAAGCAAGAATTACAGTTACAATATTTATGTCTACTTTATCTTTTATCATAACTAAGGAAAACTATTATAAGTATCTATTTTTTCAACTCAATCAAAGATCTCAGAAGGATATAATGTTACCTAAGTTAACAGGAAGTGCATTGTAAGCAACTTCCAAAACTCTAGAATTGACAGAGACATCTTACTGCCTGGACAGAGTGGACAGCCTTGTTTTGTCTCTGATTTTAGTGGATTGTTTTAAGTTTCTCACCATTTAATTTGATGTTGGCTATCCGCTTGATATAGCCTTTATTGTGTTTAGGTATGTTCCTGTATCCATAATCTTTCTAAGACTATTATCATAAAGGGGTGCTGGATTTTGTCAAAGGCTTTTTTAGCACCTAATGAAATGATCATGGTTTTTTTTCTTTCAATTTGTTTATATAGTGGATTACATTGACATATTTTCATATGTTCAGTCATCCCTGCATTTCTGGTATGAAGCACACTAGATCATGAGATTCCATTTTTATCTCTCTATCTCTCTGTGTTTCTGTCTCTATCTCTCTTTCTCTGTGTGTCTCTCTATCTCTGTGTGTCTCTTTCTCTAGATATATATCCATCTCACTTCTAGTCATACAAGTTATATTGAAACAAGAACTTTGCTTTGAGTGGTACTCTGCTTTTGTTATGGGTCTGTGATCATCCACCAATTCGCCAGTGTGACTCAGGTTTTAATTTTTGTAAAAATAGAAGGTGTTTATTTTAAAAATTGGCCAGGACCAGACCAGAGAGCACTCTGGGTAAGGCCTCAGCTACTGTTAGTCCAATTTTTTTAAGGGCAAAATCTACAACGTTATAATTTTGGAGAGCCGAATTAACATATATCCTGTTGAAGGGCAGACCATGCTTGATTTTGTAACAGATGTTACAAATACCTCAGTCATCCAAGCAAGAAGAGAGTGTTTCATACAAAAGCTGAACTTAGCAGTTATCCTATTGACACTGTAACCCATTATCTCGTAAGAATATCTGAGGCAGTGAAAGATTTACATTAATCAACAGTTTTTAAGAATAGCCTAACTGTACCGAGAAGTCCTCCATCTTGGGCAAGTTAGCTGGCAGGCTACATTCAAGATAAGAGTTAATAGTGACCTTCTCATGTATTACAAGCTAAAAACAATTTTGTTTTTACAAGTCTTTTCAACACAGTAAATTATCATAATGTTCACATTCCACTTCAGCATTTCTCACACTGACACACCCAATAAATGTTGAATGATTCCATTGGTGTGGGCATGTTGAGAAGTGTAGCCTAAAGCCAAATTTCCTCAGCCAATGTATTAGAATTTTAAGCGTTCAATATTTGTACTGTAAAGTGTTTGGCATTAGTTCAGAAAACTTATTACAATGCAGTTTTTTAATAAAGCAAAATTACCATTCATAAAAGAATTCTGCCAATCAACGGCTCCCCTCCACAGTCTTCCTCCTCTAAGGAACTTCAACAGTCAACAGGTTCAACTGATCTGATGAGCATGCAGCTGTATTTCTCAGAGGATTGCCCTTCTACAACACTAGACACATAGACAGGTCTGCTCTTTCATGAGGACTACAGTGTATTTGCACTGAACAATTTTCAAATCTATTCTAAATCTGATTTATGCTACTTATTCCTACATGTCTGCCCAGGATTAGATATAGAATTCTTGCTTCAAGATACTGTAGATGACAGCTTACTAATAACATTGCAACTTAGATGTGCAAAGTCATAGAATCTTGTACAGAGAGTCTGGTATTAGATGATAGGTTTTTCATGTGTTAATCCTTCACCTGCTTTAACAGGATGACTTTGGTGGCTTTCAATGCAGTGTTAGGTTTCTCTTCTCAAAGATATCTACCACAATTCTCCATTCCTAGTCTCGTGGCTTTGTAACTGTACACACTGGGAACATCCCTTTTATTCTTTGAAAAGTTCAGGATGACCTTTGGTTATTCTTTTCCTTTCAGAGAACTGAAGCAACTGGGCACAAAAAGTTTCTGCAGTTTCCTTTTCAGCTTCTGCACCATGGAGCATGCTTTAACTTATTCCTTATTATCATTAACTTATTGCAGCAGCAGGATAAATATAATCTAGTCCTTAGTAGATTTCAGTAGCAGCAATATTACAAAACTTATACATATGTATCAGATAAATTAAACAAATACTTGTCATTATGGGGGCATAGAACATCAGAAAAATCACTCTACATGTGATTTTCTACAGAAAATGAACTTATCACAAATTATGCTACAAGCTAAGACTAAAACATGTAAACACAAATGCTTTAACAAACTTGGAACATCCACTAAAAAGTCATCCTCAGCTAGGTATCCTTCAGAAAAAAAAGTTAAGAATCTGTCAACACTAGTAACTGTTGTCATCTCCAAGGGGATTAGTTTCTCCCAGAGTCAGATATGAGTGACTATAGCCCAGTGAGTTATCTCAAATTCCATGTTCCAACATGGTAACAATTTCATAACCTTTTAGTGTAACAGAACAAAGTAAACCATATTCAAAACACTTTTCAAATCATTGGTAGAAACATCATGTAGGCAGGTTACAGAAAAGGGGGACCTCAACTATAAGCCTCCAATGCTCTTCTGACTATATTGATAGGTTTCTGCTGGGTAGAAACTAAGGATCCATTTGTACATTCTGAAGGATTTACTTACAACCACAAAGATGTTAGGTCACATACAGAGTTGGGAAAAAAAAAGCTGCTATTAAATTGGCTGAAGATGGCCCATGATAATTTGTCTGTGAATTGGCAAAATTACAGGCTTTGTGATCACAGCTTCTTTCCATACCGTCTAATAAATAAAGCCAAGAGCAAAGACAATGGAAAATATAAAAGGGTTTGTTTAGAGACACTAGATGGCACTCTAAAAATATCACATTTCATCTTCTGATTCTTCTTGCTGTTCAAGATTTTTCAGAAGTTGAGTTTCTGAGGTGCAGAGCTTGCTAAGTCTCCACTTCACCAACCTGAGGGGGGGAAACAACAATCTCTGGTTAGGTGAAATCTAAAAGTAAACCTAAAGGCAATGTAAATCTCCAGTAAAACAAACTCCAGATTAATTGTATAGCTGGGATACAACCCTAAAAAGAAAATAATTTCTATTTAGTTTTGAGTTGTTGAAAAGCTATGTGGATTAAAGTAAGATACAAGTAAGCAGATAAAATATGAGCTTTTAAATTGATCACATCAGAGCATAACTTTGATTATTTCTAAAACAAACCAGAGAATCTATAATCTGTGGCAAGCCCAGATGAATCTGACATCAGTGGAGTTTCTTCATTAAGACCAGAACAACATGTATATTACAAGAAGATGGCTTTTTCTCCAAATAATGTACATGGGGCCATTGCCTTCCATATAGCTGTTAGGCCAAGTTAACTAAACCCCACGTCAAGTTTGAGCAGGATTTCAGCTCTTCCTTGGAACTTCAAAAAAGTGCTTCTGTAAGCAGGGAGCTGGCCATTCAACTACAGGTTCAGAGAGGAGACAAGCTCCTCTACAGTAGATGGCCAACCCTGGAATCCATGGCCACATGAACCAACAATTAGAGTCAGTGGGTGTTTTTTTCTAAACAAGAGGACGTGGAGTTGGGAGAGGGTAGTATCTGAAGAGGTTTCGAAAGACTTGGGTGGGGAAAATGGGGGTAGCTATGATCAAAATGCATTATATACACATGTAAAATTCTCAAAGAATAAACCTGTTTTTTAAAGTACACAGATGTACCCTCAAACCTATGCCTGTTTTAGTACAAACTCAGATGGAGGCCTGGAGGAAGTGATGTTTACAGTTACCAACTCTAGAAGGTCTAAAGCTTCTTAGCGGCCAAAGCTGAGCAAGCGCGCTACTTCTGTAATGTGAGAAGTATTTATGTGAAACATGCAGTTTTTTTCCTATATATGATTGCCATAAGGTCATTGTATGCTGTGGTCACACAAGTAGAACAAAATTCCCATAAATTATGAGATGTATGCAAATGAACCTGGTAAGTGGAATTACCAAAATAGTTCTCACTTTATGAGAAACTTCTCTAACCACCTACATGTTGAGTTTAACTTTTTGTCTTCCATCTTCTGATGAAGTTTGGACCTGTCCCAAACAGATTCCTACCAGAAGGACGGACAGGAAAATGAGGCTTTAGGAGATGAACATACTTTTCACTTAAACATTTAAGATGGAAGACCTCCTATTTCTTCTCCCTCTCTGAGACAAATACTTGGTGGGCTTTTTTCCATCAGAGAGAACTATTCTAGGGCATTTTCAAATCTCCTACCAGGCAGGCTCAGGTGAATGTCCTGCAGGATGATGCGTGTGTCAGAGACATATCACAAACAGCTGGTCCAAGTCTGAATCATTTACTGTTTTGCTGGCAATTTCTGCATTTCCAGATAGTTTTCTCCTCTACTACTTTGTCTTGTAAGACAGTAATAAAAGAAATTAATTCATGAAAATGATTTGAGTTTTAAGATTAACTCAGTGAGTCTGATAATCATATTTGATGAATGAAAGTGATTAACTTACCAGGTAACAAGAGCATAATTAATTCCAATGATGACATAGGTCAACGCATAATACAAACAAAAGCATACAGTGAAAAACAGAACGTTGCTATGATCAGACAGGTCCCATGCATGGTCTTTATTCCTGGGAAACAGGACAAAAGCAACCTGTGTTTCAAAGAAATGACACATAAAATAATCAGGCACATTATCAAAAACATTTATTCAGAGTACTGATAACTATATGATTGCCAGCGTCAAAGATAGCACATATAAATCATCATATTTTCCTACCTATTTTGATAACATAAACATTATTTACCTAGTTGTCTTTTTAAACTATCTCAAAAGAGTGTTAACCCCTAAATTTGCCATCCTTATTAATTCCCTCACTAGTTCCAGTTCCAAGGCTCAGGGAACATCTCAAAAGAGGAGGCAGAAGGAATCTAAGAGCCAGAGGATAGGGAGGAATGCTGTGAGATGCTGTCTTCTGAATATGACATGGCTGTCCCACTCATGAACTCCCAAAAGATGGGGTGATTTGTCCAAAACCAGCCACAGAATCAAGACCAGCAAAGTTTTGGTATATGGGAGAAGTGTTCTCCAGGCCCTAACTTTTACCAAGGAGCTACTGAGAGTTGGTAGCTATTGGAGAAGAATCATGCTCCTAGAAGGTGTGGCCACTGCTAGATTCCCATGATGCAGTGGATGATTCCATGCCTATGCATGTATGGGGAGCACTAATTGAACTCAGTAAGTTTTCAAAAAAGAGATGATATGAAGTTGGAGAGAGAAGGGCTGGAGAGGGATTCAGGAAATAAGAGGGATGAAATGAGATAATGATATAACTATATGATGAATTATATGATCACAGTTCATTGTGTACTATGATGAATTCTATGATCATAATTTATTGTGTACATAAATGAAATTCTCATGAATGAAGAAAGTTTTTTAAATATGCAAATGGTCCATAAACAAATGGAAGAGGAACAATATCATTAGAGAAAGGTAAATCAAAATGGCAGTAACATATTACTTGCTGCTCACTAGAAGGGCAATCGTAATAGTAAATATAAAATACAAATGTTGGTGAGAATGCAGAGGAATTGGAATCCTTAACCCTGTTATGATAAAAAAGAAACTGTTATGATGAAAAAGACTGACAGTTTCTTAGAACTCATTTGAAATGCAAATGTTTGAAGTAGCCTCATCAACCCAAATATCTGCTTTCTGGTGACTAGAAATCTCTAGACCGCCCTATTTGAGCAACATACCGCTTCCATTCCAGAGAGTCTTTACATTTCTAAGTATAATTTATCAGACATCATAAAATATGCAATCATTGATTGGAATTCTGATTTCAACATAATAGCGAGGTTAGAGGGTTGACATCGTCAAATGGAAAGAGACTGTGGGTTGAGATCAAACAAATCCAGACTTAAGTCCTCGTTCGGGTTTTTTGTTTGTTGGTCGGTAGCCTGTGTAACACAATGTAAACCCTAGAGCAGTGGTTCTCAACCTGTAGGTCATGACCCCTTTGGAATCAAGCAACCATTTCACAGGGGTCAGGTAAGACCATCCTGTATATCAGATATTTACTTTATGATTCATAACACTAGCAAAATTACAGTTGTAAGGTAGCAATGAAATAATTTTGTGGTTGGGGGTCACCACATGAGGAACTGTATTAGAGGGTTGCAGGCAGAATTGGGAAGGTTGAGAGCCACTGCCCTAGAGACAGTAAGAAATTTGAAGTAGAGATAAGAGATTCCTTGACTTTCCCCTTAGTCTAATGGCCAAAGTCTCAGTCTGGTATAGATTTTATTCAAAACAGAAAGATGCATCCATCCTTGCTTTCATCTTTAGTATGTAACCATTTTCCAGGCCCCACATCTATCAATGGAATTGGCAAAGGAGAAAGGTGAAGATGTTTGTTTTGATGAGTGTGCATATATGTCAAACATAGTCACCTCTTGGTCTATACCCATCCAGGATTCCTGCTTGAATTCCCATAATATCCTGTATGTGATGGCACTTTCTCCACTAACATGGATGCCTGCCTGTTGAGCTAAATTTATATGGAAATAATTAGCAGAGAATTGACTAGTTTCATGATTGTATGAGCCTTGCAAAATAATTTAATCTTCTTTAGTCTTCCTATTGATAAGTTAGAGATGGTAAGACTTAACTGTTACATTATCATAAACAGAATGAAGTTCAATGTCCATAAAAATCCAATAAAAGATAGACATGGCATACACCTATAACCACAACACTAGGGATGCTGAAGCCTTGAATTCTAGGATTCTGAGTTCAAGGCTAACCTAGGATACCTAGTGAGACGCTCTCTCAAAAGAATATTTTTTCAATACAGTGGCAAATATACACTTGTTTCTCAATAAATAACAGGTTCCTCCTTTGTCTACTTGACATACATTTCTGGAGCTTACTACTGAGAAAGCTATAAGCTGTCTTATTATCAAGAACTGACAATAACTAATATCATTTACTCAGTGTTTCTACATAATGGATAACCAGATGTCTGATAACAGGCACATTCTACTTCCTGCTCAACTGCTCTACCAGTGTTCCTACTGGAACCTCAGGTCACCTAAAGACATTACCTCTTAAAGACCAACAGTTTCACTACAGACATCAAGTCATAGGAAAGTGTCTGAACTCCATAAGAAACTATGCCATCAAATAAGGAGAGAAACCATGGGTCAAAACAAAATAGAGCAAGCTGGAGGTTTTAACTCACCTGAAAGAACCACATCCCATGCAGCATGACAAAGCTCGACCTCAGGAGTGCCAGAACTACATTGTTCTTTGTGAATAATTCTATAAAGGCAACCAGACCTGCCAAAAATATAGCGAAGCTCAACAGTTGGTGCCCAAAGGTGTCCACCAAGGTCCGGCCATGTGTGTGATTGTGGAAAATAAAAGCTAATGGGGTAGAAAAAAATTTTAATAAAAACCAAAGACAACCAAGTCATCACTTTTCAGCCTTCTTCCCTCTCTAGCCAACCTATACAACTGATAGTAAGATGAGATCCCCACAGAGCCTCAGGGCAAGGCAGCTTGTACTTTCTTCCTGGTAAAGTGGAGTCATGGAAATTTAACCCTCCTTTTGCTTCTCCAATCTGTCTTTTCTCCTCTACCATGAAATTGTCAGCTAACTGCATATAAAAGCATTAATATGCAGGCTGAGGAATAATAAACATGACAGGGCAGGGAGCACATGAATACACAGATGAACAGCTGGAGCCAAAAAGCCTTGCCTTGAGGATTTCAGTGCCCTGAAAAAAGGAGACACACCCAGAATTCACACCTTGAGAGGTAGGGCAGCATTACCTTCAAGTAGCATCTGACTACAGTGCTTCATTACATAAGCACATTCCAATTTCACCTTGATAGTTTTCATTAAGATAAAAGAAAAGAATGTTCATTAAAAAGATGAGAACCAGGCTATTAGTTATGGCGATTCTTTTTTGTCTTTTTTGGCCCTTGTCCCTGAAACACAACAGATAAGAAGTTCTTTCTTCACATGGAAGGAAAGGAACAGTTGCCTCCCAACCACTGGGAGCTTTCAGGGCTACATAACTAGTCTACCTTTTCATGTGCATAATAAATGAAGAAAAAAAACATTAAAGACCTTTAAAGACCTTTTCCTCACCCACCTCAGCAATCTTAGGGAAAACAAATGAAGAAAACATATGATTTATTTTTAATTAACTTCTCAAACTTAGATCTTCCATTACTAATGTGGTGGAAATCTGCAGACTCAACTTCACACACACTGACAAAGTTTTACTGTGTCAGTAATTTAAAAGCTAGGTGGCATTGTCCGCTATGTTCAGCGAGTCCGGTTTTATCCCAGGCTTTTTCAGACCCAGGCCAGCTGGCCTTGGTGAGTTCCAGATAGAACATCCCCATTGTCTCAGTGTGTGGGTGCACCTCTCGCGGTCCTGAATTCCTTGCTTGTTCTCTCTCTCCTCCTGTTCCTGATTTGGACCTTGAGATTTCTGTCCGGTGCTCCAATGTGGGTCTCTGTCTCTGTCTCCTTTCATCGCCTGATGAAGGTTAATATTCAAGAACAATGGCAATGGGTTTTTCTGGATTTTTTTTAAAAGGAACTTTTTTTTAATAGTTATTTATTATGTATACAATATTCTGTCTGTGTGTATGCCTGAAGGCCAGAAGAGGGCGCCAGACCTCTTTACAGATGGTTGTGAGCCACCATGCGGTTGCTGGGAATTGAACTCAGGACCTTTGGAAGAGCAGGCAATGCTCTTAACCACTGAGCCATCTCTCCAGCCCCCGGCAATGGGTTTTTGATCCTACTGCACGTACTGGCTTTGTGAGAGCCTAGGCAGTTTGGATGCTCACCTTACTAGACCTGAATGGAGGTGGATGGTCCTTGGACTTCCCACAGGTCAGGGAACCCTGATTGCTCTTTGGACTGATGAGGGAGGGGGACTTGATTGGGGGAGGGAGAGGGAAATGGGAGGCGGTGGCGGGGAAGAGACAGAAATCTAATAAATAAATAAATTTAAAAAAAAATTCAAGGAAAAAAAATTAAAAAAAAAAAAGCTAGGTGGCAGGTGGCAGAATCTATTTTGCTGCTAACATCTAGCTATCCCAGTTGAAGATTCATGCTTCCATTACTCTCTGGGTTTAATTTTCTTTGATAAAAGTGTAAAGAAGATAGCTTCTAAGAAAACACAGAAAGAAGGTGATTCTTCAAGGTAGGTGTGAAACATGAACAAATCACAAATGGTTGTGACTGCTCAATCTTGCAGAATGAGTTTGTAGAGATGAAAAATCCTTTGATGCGAGATTCCCCTCTATATGCTGTGAATACCATTGGTTAATTGAAAAAAAAACTGTCTTGGGCCCGTGATAAGGTAGAGTTGATCTGGGTGGGGAAAACTAAACTGAATGCTGAAAGAAAGGAGGTGGAGTCAGAGAGAAGCCATGTGGCCCCGATGGAGCTGGACAGAACTTTACCCAGTAAGCCTCAGACTCATGGCGATACACAGGTTACTAGAAGTGGGTTAAATTAAGATGTAAGAGTTAGCCAATAAGAAATTAGAGCTAATGGGCCAAACAGTGATTTAATTAATACAGTTTCTGTGTGGGTATTTCAGGTCTGAGCTGCCAGGTGGCTAGGAAACAAACAAGTGGCTGCTCATACAACAATCCTTGACATCCTATAGAGCATAGCCAAGTATCTGAGTATGGCCCAGATACTTTGCCCTGCCAATCAGGACTGTACTAAGAAAGCAAAGATATTTTATTATACAGGGCTATCCAGATGTTTACAATGTGGGATCCCCTCTGCATATTGTGAATATGTTTTATTGCCATTGGTTAATAAAGAAGCCAAATCTTAGGTGGGAAAAGTAAACTGAATGCTGGGAGAAAGAAGGCAAAGTAAGGAGAAGCCAAGTAGCCTCCCACAGAAGACAAAAGCCTCCACTGGAGCCCACCAGAACCCCCTGCCGGTAAGCTACAATCACATGGCAATACACAGATTAATAGAAATGGGTTTATTTAAGATATAAGAGTTAGCCAGAAATACGCTTAAGCTATTGGCCAAACAATATTGCAGTTAATACAGGTTTCTGTGTGATTATTTGGGGCCTGGGAAGCCAGGAATGAACAAACAAGCAGCCTATGTCAACATTTACTATAAGAGACAAATACAGCAGAGAGAGAGAGAGACAGAGAGAGAGAGAGACAGAGAGACAGAGAGGGAGAGAGGGAGGGAGGGAAGGAGGGAGGAAGGGAGATGGAAACACTACTCCTCCATACTTACCATCCACAAAGCAGGCATTTGCTAACATTAACTTGACCAAAGAGACTGGAAGTGAACGAATGATGAAACATAAGATCTTGGTCCCACCTAGCAATGCAAAGAAGACATACATGGCAAGATGATGCCAGTGCAGGATTAGGACCAACTGGGATTCTTTATCTGAGAGCTGATTTCGCTTTCCAAGTGCAAGGTATAGACCAATTATTCCTGTAGAAAATCACACCACAGTTTTAGTAACACTCTACTTGATTTTACCTAGCACACACATGCAAGAGGATATGAGCATTGCTTATTTCAATCTACTATGTCCTCTTATAACATTGCTTGAGAGAGAGAAAGAGAGAGAGAGAGAGAGAGAGAGAGAGAGAGAGAGAGAGAGTAGTGGGGTATAGTGGTACATGCCTTTAATCCCAGCACTAGAAAGGAATATAAAACGGAGGAGACAGGTCTCAGCTCAGCCTCATTATGGGGATTCATGGAGGCAGTATTACCATTTTGGTCTGAGGTAAGAGCCAGTGGCTGGTTGCTTTGCTTTTCTGATCTTCAGGTTGAACCCCAGTCTCTGTCTCTGGGTTTTTACTATTTGTGCTACACTGGGCAGTTCCCTCACAGCTTTGTGGTGACACTTTAGACTTCATTAGAGCTTCAAGTACTGATTTTAGTCCCAACCAATGCTGATGATTTTGGTTCAAGTGTCTATTTCCAAGCTAACGTCCAAGGTTTATGAGACTGTGTTATAGAGGCTAACTGTTCATTTCCTAACTACTTAATCTTTGGATTGCCACTAGGTAAAGGACTAGCCTTGGTTTCAAAACAAAATTTCTTAAGTTCGAAACAAAAATTCTTAAGATCCACAAAGGATAAGCAAGAAGCCCCAATCGATGTAGAATGTGGCATTGTCACTTAAACAAGTACTTGAATTTTCAGAGATGTCAGCTCGCTTACTAACATATATAAGTTTGCAGAAAAATTCCCTTTGGAAACAATTAGTGTGAGTCATATCCAAAACCTCTTTCCATGAAGAAAGCACAAAAAACCCCAAGGAGTCTTATCTTTTATAATAGGCTACAATGAAACTAAAAGTAGACCATTTTTATAGGATTTTCTAAAGCAATGGAAAGGTTTCATAAATTATTGGACTAACTACTCTCTTTAATTCAGGACATTAGAGGAAAAGGAAGAGATCATGAAGCAAGCTTTCCTTGGCCATGGCCCCTCTCCATAACCTTTCAGCAATGTTGATTATTTTGCATCATTTGAAATGATTTCTAATAGTGTTTATTCTTGCAGAGATCAGAAAAAATGATAAGTAATAATTGCAGAGGATCTAATCAGTTCCACAAAAGAAATTCACCATGATTGAGTAGGTAAATTAAATACTACAATTAATTTATTAAGAAGTGGACCTTTGTATAAGCCTGAAATACCACATTGCTAACAAATAATATCATAGAGAAATTGTAATAGAACATTTAATAAGTATTTTTGAATAAGATATTCTGCTCTGGAATTTCTTGATTTTGTTTTTTTAAAAAAAGGGAAGGAAGAAAGAAAGAAAATTTCTATGCATATAAAAACACCAAACTAAGAAAATAAAACACAGTAAGTCAATTCACCTACTAATACCACGCCAGTAATCACAATTCCTTCCACAATTTCTGCTCGAAAGAAGAATTCCTTGGTAATAAGGGAGAAAGACCTCTTTTGCTGTCGACAAACATGCTCCAGAATGTGCTTTATACTCCACCAAAGACTTATGACAAAGAAAAGTGTTCCAGGAAGAACATGACCTGGAAAATCCCCCATGACCTACAAAGAAAAGAATATAAAAATGATAGATATTTCATTTCTGGAACATCATCAAATTATTTCTCACTGTCAAACAGCAGACTAGCTTCTGATAGTTATTAGCACATAGTAGATCATATTGTAGTATCAACTATGCCGGTAACATTAAAATCCACTTTGACACTTGACAGTGAACATTATAGGAGATGCTTTCAGTGGCATCGCTAGTCCAGCTTTCACAGCATACCCATGAATAAGGGATTGATATTCCATTTTCAATTGAGGTATGAGTTTACAGGAGCTAAATGACTTCCCCAGATCTCACAACTACTAAGCAAACTTTTGTTGTTGTTGTTGTTTTTTTTTTTGGTTTTTTCGAGACAGCTTTTGTTGTTTTTTAACAGAATGCTAAAGATAGTTTCTTAGAAAGACAGTATGTACTTTATCAACCTCTTCTTCTTTAAGTATAAATGATATGAACCCTTGACCTGATCATTTAGAATTTGAAATGATGTGAAGTTGCCTATGAATTTTTCAGAGAACCAAGGATCAAGTGTGAGAGAGACTTTTAACACTCATCCAACATTTGTGTGTTCTTCCATATGCCTTCTCAGCCTCTCATGTGGATGGGTGGAAACCGTGGTTTTAGTTCTTGCTAGCTGACTGAGCAAGAAATTGGCACATGTCACATCTAGGTTGAGTCACTGATGTCTACACGATTCCTCAGTTCTTCGGCGCTCTCTCCTACAGTTCTCTCTTCTGCATTGGCATACCCTCTCTCCTAGAATTCTCTCTTCGGTATTGGCATACCCTCTCTCCTAGAGTTCTCTCTTCTGCATTGGCATACCCTGACTGCAACACAGAAGACTGTCACTGGTCAGTGCTATAGAAAAGACGGTCTTGCCCAGTGTGATTTTATTTTTATTTGTGGCCACCCTTTGTTCAAATATATTGTGCTTTCAACAGAATGAGGATGACACAGTCTAGAATCATTTTATGGGTCTAATGCTAGATAAGCACTAAACACAATTATGAAAGGGGATTTCAGGATATTCTCTAATTGGAAAACTAGGATCCCCCAGTTCAGGACAGTGCCCTCTGGGTTACTCCTCTATGATCTGAAGGGAAGCTCTGGGAGATTCCAGATTTCAAGTTATATTACAGTTATTGTAGGAAAAACAATATATATGTTGTTTTTATATTGTTGTTATATATATTGTTTTTCCTACAATAACTGTAATATAACTTGAAATCTGGTACAGTAGTCCCTAGAGTGCTGTTATTTCTGTTTAAGATTGGTTTAACTCTCTAGAGTATTTTGTGATTCTGTGTGAATTTTAAGTTTTTTTCTAATTCTATGAAGAATGTCATGCTGATTTTGTTTTGTAGTTGAATCTATAAATTGTTTTTTGCACATTGGCCTTTTCCACAATATTACTTCTACCAATACTTGAGCATGGTAATTCTTTCTGTCTTCTAGTGTGTTCCTCAGCCTCTTTATTCAGAGGTTTAAAGTTTTATTGTAGCTGTCCTTCACCTCCTTGGTTAAGCTTATTCCAAGATGTTAGGGGCCATTCCCACTGGAGGAGTATTTAAGACAAAAACTTGCTTCAATAAATAAGACCTTGACAATAATTTTGCTTGGTCTCCGTTTCTCTCTCACACCCATGTTCTTTCAGATAGTGCCTCTTCAGGACTCTAAAATAACTAAACCTGCTGGGCGGGTCACCAAGATATGCTATTGTCTTTGATGCTCCTGAGAATGGGAGTGTTTCCAGAATCTCATTTTCAGTGTGTTTGTTATTAGATATTTGTTATTTAAGGTTGCTTTCAATCTACTGACTGTTTTCAGCACATGGTTACCAAAACACACACTCTTTCTCCTAGGTCAGGGACATGGGAGAGTATATAATCATAGGTGAGAGTTATGCTTTTTGTTTTGCTTTTTCAAGATAGTGTTTCTCTGTGTTATAGTCCTGGCTGCCAATCTGTAGACAGTGTGGCCTTGAACATACAGAGATCTTTCTGCCTCTGCCCCACAAGTATTGGAATTAAAGGCTGCACCACCACTTCCCTAGAGATATGTTTTTTAAAACAGGTTGAAAAAGATGATTACATGGGAAGTGCAAATCAAGGAAATTTTATTACATTGTTTTCTTTGAAGTATGTTAAATCTAAACAGGCTTAATATACAGCAGGATTAAAGACTGAGTACATAACTTTAAATGATCTCAAAGCACTTTGTTAAGTTGGCAGAAATTCAATCTCCTTGGAGATAAAAGGTATTTTCAAAAAATATATTACTGTTCATCAAGGGCATTCTCATTGAAAAACATTTCTCTAGGATGGTGGATTTGAGAGGAGACATGGTATCTTGGTCTTTCATGTTACTTGTTGTTTTGTGATGAGACCTAGTCTCATAGACTTCTTTCATTGGTTGTATGTCTCATTTGAGATTCTAGGATGCCTCTATTGAGAAGAAATTTGTTTTTGCTATATTGTTGCCCAAGCTTAAATAATTTCACATGAGGAGTTTGTAGGTCAATCCTTCAGATACTTTGTTTACTTTGGAATGGAGGAATGGGGTTGATTCCAATCCGGTAGTAAGCCAGAGACATGTGAATGAGACAAAGAATTGGACCTTATTGGGCTGAGGTACATATTTTGCCTTGTGGTGTGAGGATGACATGGGTGGGCCAGCTTACAAGGTGTCCAAACGCTAGGCCTTTGGGTTGTGGATAGTGTGGGCAGGTTTGGTTCCAGGGATTCACCAGGCTGGGTAGGTGCACAAATGTGCATCCTGGCTAGGTCTGGAAGTTGGCTATCTATCAGGTATGTTAGTGTTTGGGGCCTCACTGGACTGGGTTGGTGCATAGGATATATGACTGGGCTTATCCCTGGAGGCTGGGAAATCTGAGAGTGAGACTTATACTGAGGTGGTCCACAGGGCATGTGATCTGAGGTTGGTTTGGAAATGGGGAAAGTAAAGGCATATTAGGGTCCAGGAAGCTCACCAGACTGGACCAGAGGACAGGCTATGCAACTTGGTTGGGCCTGGAATTTAGATATGGCACAGTCACAGTAGCAGGCTATGATAGCGGTTGTTTTCAATGAGCTCCTCGAGGGATCCTAATGGGATAAATGTCTTTTAAGACCAGACAACACAGCTCTTCTGCTGCTATAGTAATCTGGAATCCAAGAGTCTAAACTAGAGTGTTTCTTCTATTCTTGTTATCTTTCACCCCATATTGACAATTTTAATATATATACATATATGGTTAGACAAGGTAAGAACACACTCAACACCACAAAGAGCAACATGACACCAACAAAAACAAGTGGCCTACAACAGCAAGACATGAATGCCCAAATATGGATAAAGTAGAAGAAAATGATCTAAAGAATGACCTTAGGAGAATGTCTGAGGCCATTGAAGAGGAAATGAAAAATTCCCTCAAAGAAATGGAGAAAGAGACAAACAAAAAATTGGAAGAAATCAACAAATCCCTTCAACAAAACCAAGAAAAAGTAACCAAACAGATGAAGAAAACTATTCAAGACTTGAAAACCATAATAGATATAATAAAGAAAACAAAAACTGAGGTAAATTATGAGAAAACAATCAGGAACCACAAATGCAAGCAAAAACAGCATAAAAAGAATACAAGAGATGGAAGAGAGACTCTCAAGTGCTGAAGATACAATAGAGGAAATAGACTCATTGGTCAAAAAAAAACATTAAATCTAATAAGCTTAACACAAAATGTCCAGGACATATGGGACACCTTAAAAAGACCAAACCTAAGAATAATAGGGATAGGCCTGGAGGGATGGTTCATAAAGACTAGGCTCATAACCAAAAATGTAAGAATTTGTTTCCCAGCACCCATGGCTGTCCCTCCAGGTATGTAAAAAAATAGTAATAATAATTAAAAAATTAAACAAGAATAATAAGGATAGAAGAAGGAGAAGTACACTCAAAAGCACAGAAAATGTATTCAACAAAATCGTAGAAGAAAACTTTCCCAATCACAAGAAAGATACACACACACACACACACATATGTATGTATATACACACACAAGAAGCTTACAGAACACCAAATAGACTAAACCAAAAAAAGTCCCCTCATCACATAATAATCAAAATGCTAAACATACAGAATAAAGAGAGAATAAAAAGAACTGAAAAGAAATATAAAGAAAAGGGCCAAGTTACATATAAAGGCAGACCTATCAGAATTATACCTGACTTCTCAATGGAAACAATGAAAGACAGAAGGTCCTGGTTAAGCATTATGTAGACATTAAGAGACCAAGGATGCCAGCCCAGAATAATATACCCAGCAAAACTGTCAATCACCATAGATGGACAAAACAAGATATTCTATGACAGAGCCAGATTTAAACAATACTTAGCCAAAATCTCAGCCCTATACAAAGTACTAGAAGAAAAGTTCCAACCCAAAGAAGTTAGGTACATCCACAAAAGCACAGACAATAGCTGATCTCACAGCAGCAAATCCCAAAGAAGGGAAAAACACATACAATAACATCACCAACAATGAAAACTAAAATGACAGGCACTAGCAATCACTGGTCATTAATATCCCTTAATATAAATGGACTCAACTCACCTATGAAAAGACACAGGCTAACAGATTGCATAAAAAGACAGAATCCGTCTTTCTGCTGCATACAATAAACACACCTCAACCTCAAACCTCAAAGTAAAGAGTTGGGGAAATTTTTTTCAATCAAATGGACCTAAGAAACAAGCTGGTATAGCTATCCTAATATCTAACAAAATAGACTTCAAAGTAAAATGAATCAAAAGAGACAAAGAAGGACATTTCATATTAGTCACAAGAAAAAACCCATCAAGAGAAAATCTTAATACTGAACATCTAAGCCCCAAATACAAGGGCACCCTCATATGTAAAAGAAATACCACTAAAGCTTAAATCACGCATTAAACCCCACACATTAATAGTGGGAGACTTCAACACCCTACTTTCACCA